GCCAGAATTATGCTGGCATGCTCTAGAACTAGAGCTTCTTCCTTATCTCACTCTCCCTTGTGGTCTCCGAGGGCTGCTTTGGCTCATTTTTGCAAGTCAGAAATGATGCATTTCAGCTCAGAGGGACTTAGGAATTCTAAAATCTCCCATTACCTGCTACCTAAATAGCAGCCTCTTTGCATGGGTGTTTGGCACAGGGTTCACAAATTATGCGTCTGACTTTTTATTACTTAGTTGTAGAATTGCTATGCGGGAGTGGAGCAGTAACCTCTGACTGTCCAAGGGCTATTATTTTCAGTTCTCCCAAATCCCATGGTTCTCTTGAGCTATCTCCTTATGCATTGGCACTGTTTATAGAAAATCTCAGAACTACCACCCTCTCTTGTCTGTGCTTTTCTGCCTTCTCGTAGGGAAGGGAGGAAATGCGTAATGATCAGTATCAATCAGAGAATGTCAGTCATACAAAGAGTTACTCACAATCACCAGTGGAGGAGTGAAAAACTCTCAAACTAATTGGAATCAGATTATTCAGATATTCTTCCCTTGCAGAACAAGGTGAATGTGGTGATAGATCTTACTTGTTTCTCCTTAAGAATAATGAAGATATCCTGTCTGAGAACTGCGCAAAATGAAGCAAAAAAAAAAAAAAAAGTATTTCAGGCAAGAATAAGTGGAAGACTGATGCCTAGGACTACGTTAAAAAAGAAGAGGACCAACATGAAATCTATTTGCATAAAACTTCCGAAATTGTTCATGCTTCCTTAAGTTATAGTTTACTGCTTCTTCCACCTTGGTGAAGACCAGGTTCATCTTAGGAAAAACACTACTGTTGTAGATAGAGAAAAGGCTCCAAATGACTTTATATATTCTATAAAATGGACTGTGAGCTTTCTCTGCTGAATAGCATCTACAGCTGATGTCTTCTGAGATCCCACATTCCTGACTGTCATTCAGCCGCTTCCATGTCTGCAGTGAGAAATCTCGTAGAACTTTAACATGGAGAGTCTGGGTAAAGCTACAGAATATCTGGTTTGCTGTGGTTTCTCTGTATGATGTGACCTGCAGCATGGATATGATCTTAAGGAGACAATGGACTGTGTATAACCAACCTATATCTACAAATGCGGTATGAATAGTGGATTCAAGTATTGTGAAGGAGCTGCATTTTTTTTAAGAGATCCAAAACATCTTTGCCTCTTCCAGTTTTAGAATGCCAGAAAATATCTTACTGATGCCAGCCAGGAGAACAACAGCTTGTTCCTTCATCCTGACTTGAAGCTTTTTGGCTCAGGAACACATTCCTGCCAAAAGAAGACTGAAAGACTTTACCCCTTCTTGTGCTATGACCAATTTAGGCATATGCATCACTGAAAAATCTCAGTAGATTTACTTCCTTGTCATCTTTTCTGAGTGACCTTAGAAAAGGAGAGCACAGCAAATTTATCATCTTTAAGGCATCATTCTAACTCCAGTTGTCAATAGTTTTCGTTCAGCATTTTAAAAGTCCAAAAAAGGAACAGGAAACTGCAACGTGTCAGAGTTGAAACAGATTACTTGCAAAGCCAATTTATTTTTGGAGAATCATTCAAGAGATCACCATTGAAGAGTCCATTTTTTCCCTCTTGACCTTAAATCACAACGTCATTGATACTTACATCTCTGAAATTTGAAGTTAACAACCTTCAGAGCCCTTTAGCCTTTCCTTCATTTCTCAAGATTTTAAAACACCAGGATCTAATTATGATTAGCTACTCTGATTCAGTCATGCTTACTTTGTCTTTGGTCACATACTGATGAGAAGACAAGAAGAAGCAGGTATGAGGAGGAATGTTGAGATTCTTTAAGAAATACAAATTAAATTGAATACTAAAGCAAATTATCAATACATTTTCTAGAGTTCGTTTTTGTCTTTGACAAGATATGTCTTTTCTGTGTACCGTGAAGTCCAAAATAGTATCAAGATGATTCCTAGTGAAAAGTAGTAATAGGAAGTTCTAATTTCCCCATGGAAATCTCTGTAATACTCAAGCAAGAAGACATTTCTGCTCAGCTCATCAGTGATTATGGTGACTTGTATCAGTTTATCATAGTTGGAAACACACAGTTCAGGGCAAATGCCAGGGAATGGCATCAGGCTATCACTTTCTGGAGTTAAGCAAACAACAATATGTTATGTCAACTATTTCCAAGGATACTACAGGAACTCACGACCATACATACCAAAAACACAAAAGGATGACAGTGAAATTTTACGTCTACTACTCACAACTTCAAGCATGGATGGTGGAATTACTCTCTGTTTTGTTTTCTGTTTTACTTTTTAAGCTAACAGTACTAGTTTTTCTCTTTCCTTCTTTTTTGGTAATGACCAAGATGACTAGAGCTATTAGTTGGAAATGAGCAACCACAGTCTCGACTACTTCGCAGCGAGACAAACTTTATGTTTTTTTCCATAGGCAGTGAGGAATCCTCCTAATTGTTCATCTAAGACAGCTTTTAGGTGAAAAATTCTTCAGTCTTCCCTTTCCCTATTTCTATTCAGACCTGAGGCAGAGAGATAGGGATTTTTTCTGTAATCTTCCAAATCAGCCCCCTTCATCTATTTCCTGTTATGTATTAGAATGATGGTGTGATGGGTACTCATACTGGAGAAAAATTAGATGCCTTAAAATAATTTTTTATTCTCTAAGCGAATGCCCAATACTCTGTCATCCCCCCACTACTTTGCCTAGGATTTTTCTGGCCGTGGAGAAGTCTTTTCTTCATCTGGAGATGCTAAGTGGATGGAAAAAGGGAGGAAAATAATCAAAGCATTTCAAGTTGATGACTGATTCATTGGTTTCAAACATTTTTTTTTCCTGCCTCGATATTGCTCTGCTGTTTTCTAACTTGTTTTTTAGTTCTCTTATATTCCCTCAGCTATGACAGTATTCCTGGAGCCAAATGTGAGTGCACTACCTCAAAATGCCAGCAGTGAGAGTTGGTAAGCAAATGGGGAAAAATCACGAGAGGAATCTCTGAAGCTTGGGACAAAGGCAGAAAACACATCAGTACTGCACTAGCAGAGCAGCAGGTACCCTCATAGAGAACATAAAATTACAGGTAAGGAAATAATTTATGTTTCTATTTTGATCTCATCCAAATGGCTTATCACTCTATTCAAAACCCCTGGAAAAGGAGTGCACTATAAACATGTGAAGAAAATAGATCTACAGTGTAATGACTTTTTTCCTGGGGAATAATTGGAAGTTCAGTGTTATCCCTCTCTCTGGAAAAATATATTAAAAGATGAAAATCCATTATATCTATTAGGCAATTAAAACCTTAACCTAGTTTTAAAACCAGGCTAAGTTTTTTGTTTGTTTGTTTGTTTGTTTGTTTTTAGAATATTAGACATAGGAAATTGCTTGTTAGAGGTTTTCATTTCCAATAAGAGTAACTGTAGGCTTTTGTTTAGGTAAGTAAGGTAGGATTAAGCTGAAAAGGTAAGGGCTGTGTTCCTGTCTCTGCTTCTCCTTTTGCTTTCTCACAGCTGACAGGGAAGTATGAACCTTTATTATGCTTCTGTTTCCCCATCTGTAAAAAGAAAGAGGCTACTTTAATCTTCCATTTGAGATGACTAGATGGAAGAAACACTGTAAAAGTGAAGAAAATTACAGTTATTTAATTAATTGTCTTGCAATCTTTTATGTTGTGATGCTGAAGTCCCACTATGGAGTTGTGATCACCACTAAAATTACAAGAGGATACTCTTGTCTGAATTTCTACAGCGATTACCTTTTACAGAGAGTAAATTAAGATTTATGTTTAAGTCTTTTCCCTTAAAACTCTTGTCTAAAAATGTTCAATTTTTGTGATATTAAAACAATTCTACCATGAACTTCATTTCTCTGCTAAGTCATGGAAACACTGAGACAGTCTAGGCATAGTCCTGAATAATGTGCATTTTAGTGGCATTCCCCTTTCGAAGGGAATAGTAATGAAGTACGCTGGAAAGCCTAATGAATTAGATTTATGCTTGACATAACTCATATGTCTTCATCAAAGATACACTGTGATAATTTTTCCAGTGAGTTGTGTCAATTAAGTTCATTTTGTAAACTATCAAGTTCAAACAAATATGAATCCAGACCCATATTTATTTGTTTTATAGTATTTAGATGTACGAAGACTTTATAAAAGTAGCAAGTTATTGAACTTATGAGCCATGGCTTAATCTTGTAATTGATGTTTCTAATGATCTACAGCATGACATCTAAGTTAAAAGACCTAAAGAAAAGTAAAATAAAATAAAAATAATAATCTTTTTGTAGGCATTGTTTAAATAAAACTAGGCAATCTTTTGCTATGCTGTGCACCCCTTTTAGAAAATGATCATTATCAGCATGTCCAAAAATAATATCAGATGTCTAAATAAGGAGGTAGCTGCCTAAGTTCAGTATTGTCTTTGAAATGTGTCATCTGTTATTTTGTGGTATTTCCCATAACCTACTAACAATAGTAGTAATTAGAGTTCTTCTCAGAATGCTTCTGTCTTTCAAACTTTACACTACTGTGTTTTTACTTTAAACATATATAGGAAGAATATACAGAGTCTTTCATTTAGAGGAAAATAAATTCTGACTTTATGCCTTTTTTCTGTGCCACAGGTCTATCCATGGACTTATTTTCAAAGACTTTTTCAAATATCATTTTGTTATGATTAAAGATTGCTGATATACTTGGACAAAATGAGTACTATTTGTTTTTGGTGACAGATCAATGAGTGTGTTAAACCTGAATGTTTAAACCGTTTCACTTGAGATTACTGTTATTGTTTGTTTGTTTTTCCTTTGAAACCATGCTCTTTTGATAAGAGAAGTTGCTTTGATTCCAAAATATGTTTTACCTGTCGTTCTGTGCTTTTCCTTGTAAGTTAAAGAAAATTCCATCAATCCCAGTTTTGTTTTCTGTAACTAATTCCGTAACAGTGTAGTACTTGACATGTGTTTGTTTCTTAGGCAAACGTGTAAAACTCTTCAAGTCCGAATGGAGAAGTAGAAAAAGGAGGTTTCTGCTGTGCCTGATGACAATTTTTGATTTTTCCACACACATAAAATATTCTGGCTCCGCGTTGGAGCACTAGTTGTGATGAATCCTAGTCTTGGTCGGATTCTAAGGAAGGGCCAGACGTTCGTTGAGGAATAAAGAGTCAAACCACTCCAGAAAATGTGTTCCAGCCCTGGTTTATTACTCACAGAGCAGCAGGTGTGTACAAATACAGGTTTACACAGTATTAACAGGAATTGTTGTACCTAACTCTTCGTTGTAGTTACTCAGTTTGCTGCAGATGCCCAGGAATCGTGGCTTGTTTGGGCAGAACTGCAGGAGGTTGGTTCAAGAGACTCTGCACTGTGCTGCTAAGCAGCCTTGGTGTGTCAATCAGATGCTTCTGGGAGCCTTTAAAGGTCTTTCTTCACGCACTCTCCTTTCAAAGGTAGACCCAGTTCATGACCTTAAGTATACTCACTGTCACAGGGAAGCAATCAGGTGCTCTGGAGAAAAGAACAGAGCTTAAAAACAAAGTACATTTTGGAATATCCACTTAGGTGTTGCTTATAGTCATAGCTGAAAGCTCAGCATCCTGTACTGGATTTCTCAAAACTCAGGAAACAGGTGGAAAAAGGATATTTCCACTATATTCCTAAGGTATGGTAGATGCTGTCTGTTTATCTTAAAACTATGTTTCAGATACAACAGGACTCTGCCATTTTCAGAAACATATACCATGCTGTAAAAAGTGTTTTCTACTTTTCTAGTCCCACATCTAAGAACATTTGGCACATACTTGGCAAAAATGGAGCAAGTGGAAAGCTCAACTTACATATGAAAGGTTTCCATACCCTTTTGGGTTTTACTTATGATTTTTAACACTGATTATAAAATCAGGCCTACATTCTTTAACACTAAAAATTTCCCACTGAAATCACTAAGAGTAGTGGGTAAACTTGAAATATAGAATTATACCTCAAATAGTTTTGTGTGAACTGAGTTTCCAGCATGATTGTTTCTTCCTTAATGGAAATCCCTAAGCACAAGAATTAGCACAAATATAATTCTGATAAGTCACAATGTGATAAAAGTATTAAAGAATTAGGAGGTTTAGAGTCTGGTTTTATCGAAGGCATCAGAAACTTTTGAATCATTGAACTGTATTAGGAAATGTTCAGTTTAATTAATAAAATGAGCTAGAAGTGATAACTGAAGGACAGGCCTGAGGATCTAGAATTTTACATTTCTCTGTTACTTGCTTGGGAACTTGTTTAAACTAACACCTTTCATACTGCAATGCCTAAAGTAAAATTAGGGAAAAATTTTACAGCTCTTGAGCCTTATTTTCAAAATGTAGCTAGGGCCAAAGTGTTATGGGCAAAAATGAAACATTTGGAGACTTTTGAAAAACTTATCTATCAGTACATAACCCTCACTGAAGGTAAACGACCCTGTATAATTATCATTAAATATCCATTTTCAAAACTGCTCACAAATCACTCAAATTTTGCCTGCTGTCAGTAGTCCAAGTCAAATAGCAGGCTATGATATTGAAACAACAGCCTGTTTCCCAATTCACAGTTCTCCGCTGCAGGGATTGTATCAAGTATGCAAATATGTTTGAATGGCTTTAACCTTTCCCAAAACTTTGCAAGGGTTTCTTGTGTACTCAGAAATTTAGTTATCAACCACAGACATCCAAATCCATACCTAGTACTATAAAGTGCAAATGAATCCTATTACAGAATTGTCCTTAACAGCTCTTTGCGCCAGCTTCTCCACTTCTTTAGAAAATAAGTTACAGAATTCTCAAGCTTCAAGGGCATTGTGAGCCTGTCTTTGTTAACGTTTGCAAAGCATTTTTGAGACTCACAGGTGGGAAGTACTAGAGAAGTACAATGTAGTCGTATTATATGAGCAAACACCTTCCAAGCTTACAAGCTGATCTGTTTCAGTGCATAAACATGCACAAGTGGCAATGCAAACTGTCATTTGCTTTCACAAACCACATATGAATGATAGTACCTGGCAAACACACTGCACAGATTTTGAAATTCCAAAAAATAGTGTGCTTCCATCTGTTCAAAAGATTCATTTGGAGTCTAGACCTTCATTTGCAGAGGGCATGAGAGGAAAAAAGCCATTGACAGATGCATGTTTCTGGTTATGTGGGCCCTTCTGTTTCTGCATTGTTATACTCATATTAGGTTTTCAGCACCAAAACAAAGTTATTTCTCTCATAGAAGTATATGACTGGTACAGCCCTCTTCAATGCCTATTTCCTTCCCTTTTAAGAAAAGTTTACTAAAGAATTACTTTGCTGACCTTGTTTTATTAACTTCATGGTGCTCTGGTGATGCATGATTACGAGAATATAAAAACACAGACACACAATGCAAGGAAATGTACTGTGTACAAATATGTACAGATAAGAGTTGTCTTGGTACAAGATCTCTGTCTGATCTACACATCTTGGAAGACAGTAGCAATCTGTAGGTAGGCATTTTCTTTTTAAAAAGCTTTTAGCATTTATCTCGGGGAATCTTATGGCATCCCCTGCATTTAGTTTAGCTGATATTGTCCATTAAAAAGATTTTTAGGACCCTTTTCATTTTTTAAGAAATCTCCACATCGTTATTGTTCTTGATAGGCCATTAAAATTTGGCAGAAGAAAGCTATGGGTGCCAAAGCGTCTTTTCTCTGTCTTATGAATTTCCACTTAGCACAGGGTGAGTTATTAACTTTTTTTTTAATCCTTTCTCTGTCTTGTATATCTCAGAAAAAATAACAACAAAAAGATAGCTTGAAGGTTCTTGAGCATTCCGACACTTTCTGAGACAGTCAGTGCTCAGGCCATGGCCATACACACAATCCTATATGCTTGACAGAACAGTTCTAATTAAAGAGAAAAGACCAGCATTAAGTCCTTCCTGTTTCATACATTTATTTGGCAAGCACCTGGGACAGAAGGTCTGCTATATCTCTGAATCAAATGTAGAGGGAAGAAACACAGCTTAAAAATTTCCTGCAGTCTGCATTTGCATTAGTACACAATCCCACGGACATTATAAATGGACTTCTCCCCACCACTCCTTCCACTAAATTCTATTGTTTACTGTACAAGGGCGTCTGTTCAATGGCAAGCTCCTAACTTTCAAGTACTTAACTTTGCAAACTGAAGAATGTATTTTAATATGGATTTTGTGTATGGTCTGTCAAAAACACAGAAAAATTCAAAAGAGCTGCCAGCCAAAAAATTAGTAGTGTATGAACTTGTATTATGAAATATTCCAGCACACGGTGATTTCAATATATTGTATATTGTTATCTATTTTCTTCTAACATCATTAAATAGTAATTAAAGTAATTAGTTGCCTCATTTGCATATATAAACTATTCTGTAGTTAGCAAATACATAGTAGTGCATTTGTCACTCTGAAGAAATAGAAGATTTGTATTATACCTAATCTTGACCCTGTAACTCTGGTGCATGACAGCAAGGAGAGGTGCCTCACTGTTTAGAGAATATTCACTCAGCCATTCTTTATAGGCTTGATTTTGCTCCCTTCCTCTACTTATGTGGAAAGAAGTCTTTGGGAAAAGTATCAGGCTGGGTTTTGTATGGAAATCTTTTCTGGTGGGAGAGAGGGTACTATCTGCACTATTCATCAGCTGTGGGTTTTTAACAGGTGAGGGCATTTTTCACCTGTTGTCAGCACCACTCGAACGAAGGCTGTCCAGAAAAAGCTCTTGAGCTTTTTCATAGCTTTTCTAATGGACTGCCTTTGAGGTCTCCTCATGTCTGGCCCACTCTGAGTTACACTGGAAAAAGTGTTCTGCCCAAAACCTGAATCTGTTTTGAACCTGTAATGAGTGAAAAAAATGCAGAAAACTTCAGTTGTATTTAATTATATATTGTTGTTTTAACATAAAACAAGTGGGTTCACGTACAATTACAGCCAATTTACAGCAGCCACTCATCAATTTAAATTAAAAAGTCTGCAACTGCAGAGTAATTATGCTTTAATTGCACATTTAGTAGAAGAAAGTGAAGAGAGTCTAATGTATTGTATTTATGATATAACAACCATGTGAAAAAATATATTAACATAAAGGAAGTAATTATGTTCCAAGTATGAACAAATTAATTCAAATCAATACCTAGAATGCTTAAGGTGTTATGTCCTTTTTCCATTTGTATTGTTCAGCAGCAGAAAAGTTAATTTTCATACATGTTAATTATTAACTGAAACATTGATTAGACTTGATTTGCTCCCATTCAGTGTTACTGTTCCCTTAGGATTTTAAAGATCGGAGCATACTGCTATCAGTCCTTTTTCTCCTGTTAAGACTATTGGCACAATACCTTGCTTCCTAGCTGCTAAAAATGCACGCTTTTACTATAGCCAGAATTAAGCATTTCTGAAAGTAACATCACTAGATATTAGCTAAAATTTCACTACTTCTTTATGAAATTGCCTTTTCATCTGAGGGGGTCCATTCTCTCCTTAATGTGTACGAATATATAGCTTCCATTAACGTTAATGGCTGGTGTGTGCTTGCTTAACAAGTATTACCTTTCTACATAGAGACGAGTGTGGACCAGTATGCGAGTTACTCAGAGCTAGCGTGTGTGACCTGTAAGTTAAAAGGAAAGAAAAAGATAGCAGGGGGAATAATATAAGTTCAGGCAAGGGAAAGCAGTTAAAAACTCCAGTCATGTAATTGTAAAAACTAGGCATGTGCAGCTTGTTTTCCTATACAGTCTGTATGAACAGCAAAGATGTGAACAGCTAACTGAAACTGCTTTTCTTCGTATCACCTGTTTATTCTGTGTAACAGTTGATATTGCTTGTGTATGGGTTTTTTCACCATGCGGTTGTACAGCTAGACTGAGGATGGTTTAGGCCCGCAGATTGTGATTTCACTGAGTTTCTTCCTGGCTTCATTAACTGAGGAGAACACATTTGAACTTGCAAACAGCCATGTAACTGAGCGCTCGTGTATGTGTGAAAATGCTAGCTCCAGATTATCACTGTAGCCCATGCACTGAGGTGGGTGAACTAGATATTATAGAAATAATAAAAAGACTTTCATGTCGTATTTCTACCTAATTTCAAAAGATTTTGAATTGGAAGTCTAACAGTATGCAGTCATCTTATATACTACCTTGGGCTTGGTTCAATGCGTGTGATAAGTTGCAGTGTCATATGGGTAAACTGAATGTTATCACAGACCATCTCACTTGAATTTTACCAGAAAATCTGTCACCTGGAAATATTTTCTGCCATTTTGCAACTGTAAGCCATATTAAATGGTGACCACTAGGGAAGAAAATGCTGCCACAAGGATGTTTCTCTTCCTCTGCCAGGGTGTGCTGGCCTGATGTGCCAGGCAACTTGATTCAGCTGTACAGTTTGGTTCAGCAATAGCTTAAAGGTTGCCTGTGTTGCGAACGCTCAGGGCTAAAAGATGCCCGTATATGTTGCCCTTAAACTTTATATGACTGGAAAGCTGCCAGCCTCTCTTTTCAAAAGCAAAGGTTTACTCGGTGTGTTTGCAGGCAGAGCAGATAATTCATATGAGTTACTGAGGCTGTGCTTGTTCATTTGTACCTCTGAGGATATTTTCTCTGGTTCTGCTTTGGTTCTGGTCTACTCCACGGTGCAGAAACGTTAAGATGCTTTGACCCTGCATGTACATGGCCTCTTTGGGAGCCTTACATCGTTTGATCAGGCTTCAGTGCACTTTGCATCAGTTGATTTACCACAGTTTTATATGCATATATCAAGAGAAGCTAATGAAAGTCCATCTGTGAACAGGATCAGGAGATGTGTATTTTACAGTAAGCAGCACAGTGGCGCCTGGGTCCATGAGTAGAAGTCCAGCATGTTATAATAACACAAAGAATAAATAACAATAAGGTGCTGTGTCAGCCTTTGGAGCTTTGGTGCATGACATAGAAATATATTGCCTGACTTTTAAATTAATTCTTCATTATTTTTTCAGGCAACCTTATACTACAGAAAGGGCCACATGAGGCTGTTTCCAACAGCAAGAACAAAATAAAATAAGAGCAGTGCAGTAAATAAACCCATGTATCATAAAAATCACAAAGCACAATTTTATTATTGCCTTCTTAAGTGCAATTCCTAGAAACTACTTGGTGGAGAAGGCAAACTAAAGTAATGAAATCCTAGAACAGTCCTTTTAATATTCTGCCCAATGTTCCTGCTCTGCGGAGCTGACAAGCTGTATGCAAATAGTTTTGCTGAGGGCACGAGAATGTTTCATCATTAAGGAGCATGACCCTTCTCTTTGTGATCAAAGTGAAAAACATATGACCCTTGATGCCAGAAAGTGTTATTGTGACCAGTCCAATGGGTTGTTCCTCAAGAGCTGGGATGATGTCCCCTGATACAATTTGATATTAAAATGTTACATGATCATTAATTGTATCCACTGACACAGCAGAAATGTTCCTTAAAGTTATATTTCTTTGATATGACAGATTTTTTTTTCTTTTCCTGTTTCAAATCCAAATCAGACAGAGGGGAAGTCCAATTACTGTGAAATACTTTGTCTCCCACTCTTTCTCTGTGGTCCTTCTGTTCCACTCTTGTTTCATGTTAGCCTAGATGAAACCACTCTAAGTGAATTTCTTGATAGTTATTTTATACCTGGTGAATAACAGGGTATATCTATCTCATGTTTATGTATGCATGCTTTTTGTCCTGTTACTTCATGAACTGATTATTGCTTGCTAAAATGTATTTAGCCCTTAACAGGACGTTTCATTTTAAAGTAGCATGCAAAGAAGAGAAGAATACACCTCCAGTTACAGTCAATATTAACACTCAATTGCTAACATTTTAATAGCATAGTTGTTAAGATACAGAAGTTCTAACACTGAAAAAGATAAACATAATACAGACTGTTTCCATGAATCCAGCACTTTTAACTTTTACGGACTAGTAATCTGCGACCTTTGGATTTTTCTTATGGAATTTTTAAGCATGGTCATGCTTCAGTTTCTCCTTGTCAGGTCCCCATTCCAGCATAGCACTTCAACATTCAATTTAAGCTGGGGAGCAACCCCATCGAATACCACTGGGTATTTTTCACTTATTTGAAAACGTGAAAGAGCTTTGCTGGACAGAGACCTTATATTGCAGTTTCAATTTCCAGTACTTCAGAAGTAGATCCTCTATGTAAAGTTTTGATTTTCTGATTTTCTTTTCCTTTACAGGTAACCCGATAGCTAAAGACAAATCAAGTCAACCTCGAGGCTGGTAACGTTAAACACATCACGCAGGAATTTCATTCCTCCAGGCAATCCTTGAAGTGAAATTTTATACTACTGGGTTGTATCCTTCAGAATCAATTGTTTGAGTGAGAATCTGGCTTGTAATGAGCAGCAGCCTTGAGATCAAAAATACTGGAAAGTTATTTTGAACTTCTATGTCAAAAAGATTTTTGACTAATTGAACTGTGTACACTTGTAAAATTGCACTTGTGGAGGAATTTGCAGCTGTAATCGCAAGAGGTGATATTCAAAAGGTGCAGAAAGGCAGCAGTCTCTCAGATTCTCCGTTCCAGACTGGTGGCTTTTCATCTTGATGAAGTCAGCCTCCAAAATGTACTGGTTCTGTCTCTCTAAACTGAACCCTGGTCGAGCATTCAGATTGCTGGTGGACTGCACACTGCTTTAATTAAATTTCTGTTGCAGAAATTGTCCTCTGGCATGGCACAGCTTTAGACATTTTTATTTGAATTCTAATCTTGCAGCTCTGAAAGGTACATATTTCAACATCTTGAAGTTGCTTTTGTTATAGGAATGGAAATATATATCCATTGTTAATAATTATTGTTGACAAGTAATAGTTATCTGAATACATCAGTCATATTAGAATGTATAGTCAGGTTGACATGTTTCCCTAAGGCTAACCAACTACTGCAGCTCTTTGGCAGTTAAACAAGCAGTGGTCAAAACTCAATTACCACTTCCATTATAAGGCATTTTATACCTTTAAAATATACATTTCCATTTAGTTTGCAGGAGATGGGTGTTCCTGTTATGTACTTTACTCTCCTAACCTTTAATTCTTTGAAATTCATGGTAGGCAGTCAATGACACTGTTTTATCCCTTTTTATAAAGGTAGGCAGGGATGTGTATGAGTTTTGCAATTCTGAAATTGGATGGTACTTATTCAGATCTTTTTTTTTAATTAAAAAATAAAATCTATTGCTTGAATCCAAGTACTGTTGGATGCTTATGTAGATGTCTGCTCACTCTGTTTGCTATAAAGGAAAAAGCGCTTACAGTCATCCAATTCAGATCTTCTGATCCTTGCCAAAATCATTATCTCATGACAACATTTACTTTTTATTTTCTATTTCAGCAGCAATTTTTTGAACTTTGCGATGTGTTGTTCCATAAAAAAAATCCTCAATATCTAAAGGCCTTAAGCATCTTTGAGCTTTTTTCTAAGTTACTATAGAATGTATAATTTTATAATCCATTTAATGTATATTGTACCATCTGTAATACTGATATAACAGAGAGCTGGCAATTCCTTTTAGTGACGCTGCATAAGCATGCTGAATGGAGAGGGTGAGATAGTTCTGATTTGTTTGCTTTGGTGCACTGAAATTAAAACCACAAACACTTGATAGTTGTCAAAAGTATATAGGGGCAAACTTATTTAAATGTCCTAGGTGGTTACCAGACTCTCACGGAAAGAGGGAAACCCTTTTATCATTACCAGCCATTGACATGGCTAGGTAGTTATAAATTAAGTTCCATGATGGATGAACACCCTGGAGTGCTCTGTCTTTTGCAGTATCCCCTGCTGTTCCAAAACCATTTCATTACCTCTGCTGTATTATTGCACAGGAGAGCTTAAAATAAATGATTGTTGGAAATAAAATTGAGATATGTATTTTATCATTCTGCTGAGGAATAATCAAAGATGTTGGCAGAGAAAGATATTCTTTTCTGGTTAAAATTTAATTAGGATAAACTGTTTGTAGCAGAACTAGGTGTCTCAGTATTTTAGGGTGGAATAATATTGTATGGATTTGTGCTAACAGGTGGGAGAGAAGGTAGCATCTTAAAGAGATTCTTTTTTTGGGACAGTGCAAAGTATTAATGTGCTGTTTTGTAAAATCTGAATATGGCCTCTCTTTGGTCAAAAATCTGCATCATGCTTCTCAATATTTGTTTTTTTGTTTCTTTGTTCTTAAACCAACACTGAAAAAACTGTATTATATACAAGTGTAACACATGCATATCAATAAGTGAAAATAAATGGATTTTCAAATACACTAAATAGATTATCTGCAGTAGATTAATGTTGTGAATATTCATAATAAGTGAATAAAATTGTGATATAAAATGGAGTCCCCTGTATGGATGTGTGTTTTGAAGATTTATATTCTATTTACTTGTGGAACAAAGGATTTTTCTTCAATGACCAAGAATCACAAGGGTTATGATAATTTTGTGTTTCTTCAGTAGAATGGGGAATATCTTTGACCATTTTGAGAGATTCTTTTCCAAAAAAGAGAAAATGAAGTTTAGTACAACTGTCATAGCGTTGTCTTGGGAAATTCTACTGTTTTCAGACAAGACTGAATAAAAATATTGCTTTTCCTCACAGAATTCAAATCCTGAAAAAAACGGATTTAGGTCTTTTCACTGGCAACAGAACATTGTAGACATTCCTGAAATGGTAACATTTCAGTTTAATTTGGTGTATTTCTATCTGGGAGCAAGCTGGGAACCACAGTTCAGCTATCCATAGTGTCCCTTTTATTGCTGTCCTTGAAAATGGAGTACAGGTGACTAGATCAGGTACAGACATTCATGTTGTAGGCAAGCAGAGATGAATCCTGCTTCTGTTGCTTCTCTATTCCGTATATGCTCGTTCCCAGGTTTTTTGATATACCCAGCTTCATCTGATTACAAAGATGATCAGGCATTATGATCAGAGGGAAATCATATTACCTTTGATCAGAGGGAAATCATATTACCTTTTGAATGCACTAATCTTCAAGAACGCTGAATCACAGGAGAAAGCAGGGTCCTAGTCTGCAGTTCTGTTTGACAGTGCATCGATAGGGAAAG